GGGTCTCCCTCTAGCCCCAGCTGGCCTGGAACTCACTATGTAAACGAGGCTGGCCTTGAACTCACAGAGATCCACCTGGCTCTGCCTCAGGCATGTGTCACCACTCCCAGCATTCTCTGTAACGTTTTAAGGTAATTGCTGAAATAAAATATTCAAGGAAGCATGGTTTATTTCATCAAGTTTGAAACAGGAGTTGTCTATGCAGATTGTTAGTGATCTTTATGATTCCTTCTAGCAGTAGGATTTTATGACCCATGTCCACTTTTCATGGAAGCGAAATTAACAATTATAAGATGTGCTACAAAGTTCTATCTGTTCCATACACGTTTCTTCTGTAAAATTTCCTTTTCTCAGACATACTATATTAATCAGCTTTCAATTGTTATAACAAAATACCGGAGACAATCAATTTAAGAGAGAAAAGTTTACTTTGTGTCATGGATTCAAAAGTATCAGTCCATGGTCACTTGGTTCTGATATTATGGGCCTGTGGTGGTCTAAAATATCATGGCAGAGAAGATGTCAACCAAAGCTGCTCACCTAGGGTCAACCACAAAGAAGAAAGTGAAGACAATGGAGGAGGGGGGAGGGAGGGGAGGGAAGGGGGGAGGGGAGAGGAGGAGAGGAGAAACACCTCAAGAACTAGCACCCCCAACCTATATCTAACAAATTGTCTTCACCTTCCAAAATTTCTATCACCTCTAAGTAGCCCATTAAGCCGTGAATTCATCCATTGATTAAGTCAGAGTCTAATAAACTGCCAAAGACCCTGTCTCTTAACCCTGCTGCCTTGGAAGACAAACCTTCAACAAACACATGAGTTTGGGGGGACATTCATGATCTAAATCACAACTGTCTGGTTAGGGTTGGGATCATCCTTGCTAGGAAGACCATTCATGTGATTTAGTGGCATGAAGATCTGGCTCATTCATTAACAGTCAACATGAATACTCAGTTCAGTGTTATGGATAATAAGTAATCCAATCAAACATACTTGATGAAGCACCCATGAAAATTCCAGACATCAAAGCTCAGGGGCGTTACCATGGTTGGCAGCATTCCATTCACATCACATTGCAGCAAGGCCAGAAGGGCACATTGTCAAGCTGAATGGAAGAAGATTACAAAAGCTTCTCATTTGCAGTCTTCCCAGGCTCCGCACTGTGTCTGTGAATTTTCCTCTGGTTTGGTTTAATATGTATCCTTCACATATAATAAAAACAACCATGAGCATAATGTTACTGAATTCTGTTGAGCTGTTGTTTTAATTACTGAACCTAAGAATGGGGTTGGAAGTCCTTCAAATTTGCAGTGACATATCACAAGTGAGGGCCATTTTGTGAAGGACTGAGCCTTCAGTTTACCTTACTCCAAGCACTACTGTATTTTGTGTTAAATCTTGCTTCCTGGTGACCCCATAGTACACTTAGCAGTTCACAAAGCTTAGTGGAGAAGTAGTGTACTAAGGGAATTAATAACCCCGGCAAATGTATATCTAATATTTAGAAATATAATGTCATTATTAATCTAGCACTCTTGCTCATTAACCTTAAGTCACACAGAGAGCTCTATGTTCCTCACTCTACCCTGTCAACTTCAGTTGCCCCAATGAGACTGACAAGCCCTCTGTACACTGAAGGAAATTATAAGGGGAATGAGTAAAGAAAAAAACCGAGTCTAAAGAAAAACAATTGGAAAGATTGGGGGTCATAAAGAAATAGTTGTGAGTAATAATACCTGTCAGTAAATAAACAAAGGATGTTTTGTGGCAGAGAAAAATATATTTCTTTTCTGCTCTTCATAAGAATAAAGATGAATAATTGAAAATTTAAAAACTCATCTTGGATACATTTTTGAAAGATTTTTTTAACCATCTACACCCTTCTAACAAAGAAATGGGTTGCTTCATAAAGCTATTCTCTTTGTGTTATTGAAGATATTCAAGCAGAGTGTGAATTATCTATTCCGTGAATCATTCACTTAATAAATATTCATAAGAATTTATTATATTCACAGCACTGGGCTGAGAATATGGGAGAGGCAAAAATAGATCAAATAGAATTCTTCCAGATAGTATAACTAAAACTTGAATTAGAATTAAATGTCAGAACACAAATTAGAAAGGCAACACATCCTAGAAGGTGTACAGATCAAGCTGTACAGGATAGAGGTGTGAGACATGACTGCCCATTCATGGATGTTAGGACTATTTTTTCCTTGTACTTTATAGTCCATTCTCCACTGAGGAGGAGGAAGCCTGTTCATATGATACCCTAACCAAAGCTCTGGCAGAGTATTCCATGCCATATAGAGTAAATGTAGAATCATTACCTTGTCTTCTTGCCCGGATATAAAACTTCTGTTTACATTCCCCCAGGCAGCAGCTACAACAGTCTTTCTGTTTCTGGAATACATCAAGTTCTTTTCTAAACGACATTTCCACTTGTCAGCTCATCTGCTGTATGCTCCGCTCTCATTTCTAGGCATAGTAGCCCCTTTCCCATGTCAGCACCCACGTTATTTTCTTGATCACCCCATCCAAATTAGCTGGAGGTAACTTCCTTGGTCTGGTCTTCCATCTCTCTGCAGTTACCACCACTTTATTTCCTTGTAAGTATTATCAAAATCTGAAATTGAATTTCCTGTTGTTCATTTATTTGTGAATGACCTATCACTAATCTCTCTGAACCAAATATAACAAAGTAGGGATTTGTCTGTCTTGGTTGCTATTTCTCCAGGATCTAATTAAAGTAATGCCTAAAACATTGTAGGTATACAATAAGTACTTGTTGAAGGCAAATTCAATTGAGAGTTTAATATATAGGACAGAAATTTAGACAAGACTCTTTAACTCCTTCTAACTCATATTTTGTGATATCAACTCACCAATTCCTCTCTGCTAAGCCATCATCTTCTCTCCCCTGGGGTTTGAATCACTATTCCCCCCACCCTGCTCTACCACACTCCCTTCTGCCTTTGGGCTCACATGAAGATGCCTCTTTACATGATTCTTAGCTCTTTCTGATCTGATCATGATTAGCTTTTCTCTTTATAAATTCCTAAAATTAGAGGTTGGAGAGATGCCTCAGTGGATAAGAGTACTGGATGCTCTTCCAGAGGACCCAGGTTTGATTCCCCAGCACCCACACAATGGCTTAACAGCCATTCATAACTCCAGTTTCAGGGGATCTGACATCATCTTCTGACCTCTGCAGGTGTTGCATGACATGGGTGTACTTAAATACATGCAGGCAATACACTCATACACATAAAATAAAAAATATTAGATAAAATATTTTTTTAACTTAAAAATAATAACTGTGGTGGCCCACACCTTTAATCCCTACGGAAGCAGGCAGATCTCTGTGAGATGAAGGTCAGGTAGGGCTACAGAGAGACCCTATCTCAAAAAGCAAACAAAGACAAAACAAAACAAGAGTTTTAAAAAAAACAAGCAAAGCTAATTTTAGTAATATATTTTATTTTAACTTTTTGATGTTAGTCCGTTTTACATTATTTTAATAAATTACCTTAAGCTGGATACTTACAAAGGAACATGGTTATTTAAGATTATGACTTGGGAAGGTTAAAGTTCAAACTTGGCAGCCCTACCCTTTTGTTCTCTGATGCAGGACAGCTGGCTGTGTCATACACAATGAAGAAGTGGGAAAGAAAATGTCAGCTTACTGAAGAAGCCACATGCATGGGGTAGCTTTAGCTTTTTAACAAACTACTCTCATGAGAACTAATTAGGGTCCTGTAAAACTTGCATTACTCTCTTCTAAAGGTGATACTCCCAATACCCTAATTACCTCCCAATTAGGTCTGACCTCTTTTTTTTATTAATACAATTTTTTTGAGAATTTCATACCTAAGTATTCTATTACATTACTTCCACCTCTCCCTCTTCCATCTCCAGATCCTGCCATGGCCCCTACTCCCTCTCAAATTCATGACTTATTCTTTACATAAATAGATAGATGATAGATGATAGATGATAGATAGGTAGATAGATAGATGATAGATGATATAGATATAGATATAGATTAGATTAGCTATAGATGTAGATATAGAGATAGAGATATATAGATATGGAGATGATAGAGATAGAGATAGAGACAGAGATAGAGAGATAGAGATAGAGACAGAGATAGAAATAGAGATACAGATAGAGATAGAGAGATAGAGATGATATAGACACCTCTGAGTCCATTTGTGTTACTCAGACATTCATATGTTTAGGGCTAATCACTTTGAATTGGGCAACCTCGGGGAACTCGTCCTCTCCATCTAGGGTATGACCTTGTGAAATTCCTTCATCCACACTGGCATGTTGACTGGCAAGGCATGTCATTATTCAGTTCTTATTCAGGCAACCGTATTGTTGAAATTTTATGGGTACAGCTTCCCCATCAAGAAGATACTATCTTGCAGCAGGCATGGTGGTCCTCTGGCTCTTACAATCTTTCCATCCCCTCTTCCTCAATGTTCCTTGAGCCTTAGTTCTAGGGGTTGTATTTTAGATGTACCAGTTATGGTTAGGCACCCCATGGTCACTAATTTTCCACACTAAAAAAAAATTTATTGATTCAAGAATTTCATACAATGATGCATTTTGGTCATATCCAGACCCCTTCTCCCCCTCAACTCCCAGCTTACTAATCCCCCAACTTAATGTCCTTTATTATTATTAGCCCTGTTTTTTAAGACCTGTCAAGTCTAATATGTATTTCTCAAGTGCTTTGTGGTATGGGTCTATCCCTTGAAATTTGGTCAGCTGTTCTCTGCATTTTGACCAGTTACGGCTCTCAGTAATTGTCTCCATCTACTGCAAAAAGAAGCTTCTTGACAACTGCCAAAGCATCTCCACAGTCTCACTCTAATCCCAGCATTGCCTCTTACTTGCAGAGCTCCAGCCAAAAGGGTCAGGGGTAAGTAAGGAGCTGCCTATACCATGGCTTTTACTAAGCAGATTGCACGCAAATGTATCAGTGGTAAAGCACCCAGGAAAAAAACTGGTTACAAAAGCCATTCTACTGGAGGGGTGAGAAAAACCTCATCATTACAGGTCTGGTACTGTAGCACTCCCCTTCCAGCCTCTGCTGCAAGAAATTGCTCAAGACTTCAAACAGATCTGTGTTTCCAGAGTGCAGCTATTGGTGCTTTGCAGGAGGTAAGTGAGGCCACTCTGGCTGGCCTTTTTGAAGATAGCAACCTTTGTACTCTCCTTGCCAAACGTGTAACAATTATGCCAAAAGATATCCAGATAGCATGCTGCATACACGGAGAACGTGCTTAAGAATCCACTATGAAGGGAAACATTTCATTCTAAAATCTTTTTTCCTCTTCTTCCTGTTATCAATAGTTCTGAATGTTAGATTCTGCCCCCACCATGGGCTCAAAAGGTACCTAAGAATATGATTATAAGTGGAAATCAGGTGTTGGCAGTTTTTCCATTTTCATTTCTGTGTGAATTTTTAATATAAATGCAGATGTGAAGCATCAATGCAAGTCAAAATGTCTCCATTAACAAATTTCAACAGTTCAACTCTATAACAATTATAAATAAACCTGTTAAATTTTTCTGGACTATGTGAGCAGTTTGAGGTTTTATTAAATAAGTAAATTTCTTATTGATGACAAAAAAAAAAAAAACAGAAGCTTCTTTGATGAACGATGAGTGCTACATTTATCTGTGAGTGTAAGTATTTGGAGTATAGTTAGAAATTATATTGGTTTAGGGAAGTCGTAGTGGTAGTTCTCCTCTAGGATCAAAGAAGGTATTTGGCTAGGTATGCAGGACCATGCATGAATTCTCTCCTATTGAGCAGGCCTTAAGTATGATTAGACAGCTGTTGGTTACCCACAAGATAAAAGTACCACTATTGCACCACTGAGTTTTTCTTGCCAGGCCTGTCATTGTGGTTTGTAGGCTTTACAGCTGAGTAAAACTACTGATTTCTTTTCTCCCTTGACAGCTTGCATAGCACCTTCTGATACTACAAGAGCTAGTCTTCAGGGAGGAGGTTTGCAGTCAATTCCAACTCTATTTCTCCAAATCCTATGTCTGAAGTGTGTGGTGTCTTCAACAATAGAGTCTTACCTTCAAGTTCTAGGAGGCAACCAAGGGCAGTGGCAATAGCCTATATTTTTTTGGGAGTCTCTTAGACCCCTCCGACCCACAAGTTAAAGGGAGATTGCCCACGCCTAACACTGGGGGTTTTCTTAGTCTATGGCTCTTCAGAGAAACATCATAATAACATGGCATAACTCCATTTAAACTACATATATATGTGTCTGTGTATTTTTAAGTAAGCTTATAGAATAATGTTTCCCCATGACTTTCAAATATTCTTAGTCTCTCTCCCTCTGTATTGCCCTCCCTCCCCACTCCCTAATTAAAGTCCCCCATATTGTGCCTTTCCCACCTTCATAGCACCTGTGTCCTACTATCTCCCCTACTCCACATGCACCCTAAGCTCCTTTTCAACTTGCCTAGCATCTGCAGTTACTTTAGGGTATATGATCTTAAAAACCCCTCTCAGTGGGTCCAAGGGACACAGAGGTCCAAGTTTCTGGCACATGAAACTTTGGAGTATACATGTAAACTATATGCAAACCACAGGAATAACTAACACATTATTATTTCAACATGTAAAAAGAAATTGTTATTGAGCTATTTCACATGTTTAATGGGAAATTATTTTTGCAATGATTCAATATTAAATATAAAATGTAATGTAGTTAAAATAAAATTAAAATTAAATTCCTCAGTCACACCAGTCATATTTCAATTGTTCTATTAACTACCTACTGTTAGCAGCAACATGCACTACACAATAAATGGTAAACACACTGGTACAGGAACAAACATTCAGTACTTGACTAGATAGGTACACTAATGATAGTATATTACTAATTTTTTTTTTTTTTTTTTTTTTTTTTTTTTTTGGTCTTTTTGAGACAAGGTTTCCCTGTAGCCGCAGCTGGCCTGGATTCGCTAATGGAGACCAGGCAGAGAAGAAATGAAAATCAATTTTTAATTATTTGTCAAAAAGTGTGTTAATTACTGGTGTTGAAAAGTATCATTAATGACAGGAAGAAAAAGCATAAGAAAATAAAAATAATGCTTAAATTTAATAAATGTCATTAGACCATGTTGTTATGGTAAATGTTCCATATCCATAAAGCAATCTTTAATTATGGTGAGAATTATCCCAGGTTTTCCTAAACCTGGAGATTTTACTATCTTGCTAGGATCAGTTAAGCACAGTTTAAAGTAGGCTAGAGGGGCTGGAAAGATGGCTCAGTAGTTAAGAGCACTGACTGTTCTTGTGGAAGACTTCTATTCCCAGAACCCAAATGGCAGCTAATCACCATCCTAACTCCAATTCCAGGGGACCTGATTCCTTCTTCTGACTTCTGAGGGCATTGCATGACATGGGTACACTAACATACATGCAGGCAGTACACTCATACACATAAAATAAAAATAATAAATAAAATAGTTTTGTTTTGTTTTGTTTTTTTAAAAAAGGCTAGAGATCAGGAGGCAGAGGCAGGTGGATCTCTGTGAGTTCAAGGCTAGCCTGGTCTACATAGTGAGTTCCAGGACAGCTGGGGCTACAGGGAGACCCTGTCTCAAAAAGACCAAAAAAAAAGGGGGGGGGGGGGGCTAGAGAAAAAGAGTTCTGGCTTTCCTTTGTGGTTAGAACAAACTCACTCTTGCAGAGTTATACTTAAGACTCTATTAACAAAAACCTCATAAAACAGATACATTCACGTTTACATAGATAAACAGAGGAGAAAATGAAGAAAATGAAAATGAAAGTTGCAGGCTGATGAAAGGTGAAATTTCAGTCTTTGTTACGCAAGATGCTGATCAGATCCCTCCAATCACATCAGGAGTTTGCAAAGGCTTTTTCCTCAGTCTTCACTGGAAAGACAATTTGATAAATCTTTTTTAATTTTATTTTTATTTTATGTTTAGGAATGTTATGCCTGCATGTATGTAAGTCCACCTATGTTGTGCAGTGTCCACAGGGGTCAGAAGAGGGTGTTGGATCCCCTGGAACTGGAATTACAGATGGTTGTTAGCTGTCATGTGGGTGCTGGGATTAAAACCCAGGTTTTCTGCAAGAGCAATCAGTGCTCTTAACCATTGAGCCATCTCTCTAGCCCTTAGAAAAATAATGTGAAATATAATCCTCAATATTTTTGAAAACAAGTAAATTCAAAATAACTATCCCATGATAAACAATCTGTACTCTTACAAATTTTAAAATGCAGCCATAAATTATTAATATGACTTTTACTGGTTGGTAAAAAGAACTAAAAGACCAATGCTGATCTGCTGTCCATGCAGTGGGGACTAGAGAATGTAGCTGGATCATAGGGCAGAGCCTTCATGAATGTGGTGTTATACCTGGGAATAGGTTAGCAATTGAGGGAGATCAGTTTCTTTTTCTCTCCTGTACATTTCCATTTGCCCTCCTCCATGATTTTAAGACAACCTTACTAGCCTCCAGAAACAGTCAAAATTAACCTCTTTCTTTATAAATTGGCTAGACTTGAATATTCTTATACAGTAAAAGAAAATTGTCTCAGACACCAACCTTGATATTTCTCACAGTTGCCTGATCATACAATTACTTTGACTTCTTTGAAGGTTGCATTTTAGGAGCCTGGGCTGAGACATAAATCTATATGCTGAATATAAATATATTTTAAATGCTTAGAAAAGACTTAGAAGTAAGATAGTTTATGCAGTCCTGCTTTATGATGCAAAAACCAATAGACTTCTAGCTAATTTGATTTCTGTGATTCCTTCTTTCAAAAAAGAATAAGGACTCTTCAGCTCTGACAAGTATTTTAGTCTGTTTGGTAGTTATATTTCTCAGTGGGGAAAAATCCTCTCTGTGAATTATTTTTAGTTTGGTTCCTGTAAAGCATCCTCAACACAGCTACTTGACCATGTGTAAACTAAGAAATCTGTTCATAGGATCAGAGCTTTGGCAGACAGGAAGAGACTTTTTCAAGATCATCATTTTGAAATTTTTACCAGAAATAATCTATTGTCTCCTACATTCACATTTAAACAGCCTAAATCCCTGGTATAGAAAGTTCAATAGCAATTAAAGAGTACCATTGTACAAGTGCATCTTTCTCAAACACAGTCTTTACAAAGCAGAAGGAGAATGAGGAAGAAGGTATGGAAAGACTGACTCCCTGGAGTCCCTTCTCTGCCCAGTCCTCCTACAGCAGCCCCAAAGTCAGCTGGATCCTCTTCCACGACACCTACCACCCCATCCACTTTTCTGGAAGAGATTCGGTTGATATTCTTCAGCTTCCTAACTGTCTTTTGCCTTTTTGTAGAACCCTTGTTCAGGTGTTCTATTCTTCATCCTCCAAACATGTTGACCCCTGACAATGTTGTCTTTTTTCCTCTTTGAATAAAACCCTACCCTATGTTCCTTCACTTTAAGTGATGCCTAACAAGTAGTGTAAGCAAAAGATAAGCACCAAATACTATCAGAGGAACTCTATCATACTGTGTGTTTGAAATCATAAAATCTTATCGTTACTTTCTCACAAGAGTGCCGTTATCTCCATTTTCCACATGGGGAAACAGATCCAGAAAAATCAAGTGACCTATCTCCTTCAAATCATTATTGAGCCTGAACTGGTGCTTACAATTCAACTTCACTTTGCTCTCCAGTGAGCCCTCATGCCTGTCATTATAATATTATTTCATTCAGGAATTATTTACTCTTCCCTTCAGATCGTTAATAAAGACATTAAGCAAAACCAGACCTCACACTGACCCTATAGTCAACACATAGCTCAGAGTCATTAGGATTTGTCCTCCAGCCAGTTCTCAGTCCATGTGACAGAGCACACAGCACAGCCAATGCTAATTAGGTTGGCAAATAAGATTTATTGAGATACTGTATCAAATGGATTGAAAAAATAAAAATATATGTGTGCTAAGGCACATTCATTGTGCTCTCTAAGTTTTAATTCTATTGAAAAAGCTATCTAGACTGTCTGGCACTATTTGTCTTTATAAATATATTCTTTTAGAGCAGAGCTCTTTCAGCTCTTTTGATTCTATTATCTTCTCAGGGTTTCAATCTTAACAGTGGTTCTGTTATTTTTTTGAAAGGAATGATATCACAATAGGAATTCAAACACAGATTCTTTATTCCAAGACAATTATTAATAACATAGAAAGCAATTAACCCTACTGAGTCCTGAGCTAAAGTGAATCATAAGTAGTCTTAGGTATCTTGGGATCAG